TTAGAGGCAGAAAATGCTGGTTTTTTGGATTTTTTTTCACAGTGTGTCCCTGAAGGAATAGGCAGAGGCAATAGACAAAATTGACTTCACATTACTATAAGTTCCTAAGAGCCACACAAGATTTGGATGCTCCATTGGAAAAGCCAGCACAAGGTATAAGGCTAATACTTTTTGTGGGGTTTCCCACTACAAGTAGCCTCATGACAGCAAAGCTCTCACGGGCCCCTGCTGGCAGTTACTTACAATTTCTTTCTCCCCCAATTGACCAAAGCACAGAGAAAAAGTCATTAAGTTAATTATGGAACCTGGGTGTTTCTCACAGCAGTGGTTCAGGGTGGACCTCACCCATAGGACCCAATATCTGCAGGATACATGGTCTACAGGACCCAGTGGAACTTGTCATTTGTCTCTTCCCCTGTGCAAATGTGGAGACAACAGTCTCACAGAAATGTAGCCTTCTCACAGAAGAAGCCAGGGTGATCTGGTCTTTACTGTGGCTTTTTAATGGTTTGCCACCTTGTCGTATGTATTCAGGCAGTAACTGTCACCAACAAGGTTGCTGCTACGCTGTTTAGGCCTAGCTTCCTGCTTAGCTGGGGACACAGGTTTGAGGGCTGGCTCTTGCCAAAAAACAAATTGGCCAACTTCTTCTGAATAAAAACAGTGAGACTGACAGTTGATTCCACTTTGGGGAGTACAGAGACGTAGGTAAAAAGAGTTAAAATATCAGAAACAGACTGACAGGATCCCAAAGAGATCACGTGAGATTCTGCAGTTTCAGAGATGAGGAAGTGGCCTTGCAGGTGCTTTCAGAAGTTGGGTCAGTGGGGTTTCTGGCTGATACCATCCCACTTGCAGAAGTGGAAGAGGAGAGGGACAGTAATTTTCTGCTGCCATGTGATGCTGAAGTCAATTTTGAACATAGCAGGCTGCTAGGACTTTCCTTTTAGTGGGGGCTCAGGCAAAAGGGAAGGCTGCAAGTCCCTCAAAGTAGGGTAACATGCAAGGAAAAGTGGGGAAACAGCAAAGAACATCAATCCAAGCCTCGCTGCAAAAGTACTCAAGCTTCACCCAGTAAGTGCCTTTATGTTTTGATTATAGCCCAGTATGCTCCTGGAGAGTAAAGAAACTGAACATGGTCCTAAACCAGGGGTTAGATTCAGACAGCCCAGAATGCCTTCAGGTTTCTCTCAACACACTTCATGGGAGGTATCGGATGTCCACAGAAAGATGGACTGTAAAAAACAATGTTTCACTAAGTCCTTCCTGTACACCAGAGTACAATATTTGGTTTGTTCAAAGCTTTCATGCTGTTCTCAGGTTCAAAGAGAAATCAACATTTTAATTTTCAGTCACCCATAAGGAAGCTGTAAAAGACCTGGAAGAAGCTGTAAAAGATCCAGACCAGAGACATACACCCTTCTGAACTCAGGAAAAACTGCTACATTTTCTACTGTTAAACAGCATTTTAAGAACGAAGCTCCCAGGAGACAGCCAGAAATCTGTCTGACTGTTTTACTGTCGATTCAAAAATGAGCAAAGTGAAGGGAAAAAATACTACTATTCTGAGTTAGGATAAAATCCCATTAGTTTTGCACCAGTATCAATACACAAGGGATAAGGTTTTGGGAAAATCAGGAACAAAACAGTCACTGTCTTTTTTTACCTCCCCCTGCCCCCCCTTTTTTTTTCTCTTGCTTATCAGAAGAACTGAACTCGAATGTCTCTACAAAAGGTTCTGTCTAAAAGTATTTCAAAACATTATTAAATTTCCAATTTTTCTTCCTTTCAAAGGGTATGAAAGGAATGTCTATTACAGTTTTCTTTGTTCTTTTTCAAAACAACTGTTGCTTCCTCCGTCAGTGCTCTCAGTCACTCTAAATCGTATTTATGTAAATAATTTTATTTTGTTTTCCCACAAGGTGTCACCATAGGTAAATACGATAACATACAAGCCTTTGTCAAAAGAATTTACCCTTCTCATTTTCTAAGATTAAGAAGACATTCATACTCCCTAGGTACTACTAAAAAATATCGATTAATGTGCATAACAGTGAAAATCATAAAGCTTTCCACTGTCTATAATGAATTCAATTCAACAGAAGAAAATTAAAATGGGAAATAAACTCTGGTTTTTGGAGTTGCATAAAAATGAAGAAACTGGAAAAGAATTTCCTCTTTTGTTTACTACAGGAGCTTTTGTTTACTACTACGTAAAACCCCTGAGAGGGAATTTCTTCATTTCAATTCTTCAATGCAATTTCTTCGTTTATTCATTTTGTGTCAGCAATTTGTTTCAGATCATGAGCGCATCACTCTGTCTGGGAATTTTTTCTGTCTGTTAAATACTATTTTTTATGGCTAATAACACCTGTGTTTGGGATACAATTTCCTCTTTGATCCTGCCAAGTGTTCTTGGGTGGTGAACCCATGTTCAGCTGGAGTCCCAGGAAAACCAAAAGTGGTGCCCGAATGGAAGAGCTTGTCCTTGCTCTTTTGTTACAAAGATTGACATCCAATTTCAATTTTTTGCTATCTCTGAAGATTGTTCTTTCTGTTCAATTAATTTGGTCAACAGGAACAGATCAGTCCTTAAGAATTAAAGCATTTTGTAACTAAGCATTTCACCTTACCTGCTCAGCTCTGCAGTGTCTGCACTGGAAAGCACTGTAAGAGAAATATTTAAGTCCCCTCTTTCCCATGTTCAAAGAAGTTTAATTAATTGCATTCACTGAATTACTGAATTTAAATTAATTGGAATGCTTCTGTATCAAAAAGATACAAATAACATTGTGGGATTTTGGTTCAAGTGTCTTAGCAGTCTTCATAACGAGCATATTTTTTGACAAATTGTGTTCTTTATATTCTGCAGGTCCTTTGACTTTGTGCCAGGAATGGAGAAACTGGTTGAAAGCTTCTTGCAGGTCCCCATGATGAAGGTCCTACCAGATGGAGAGGCGCTTTGCTGAAGCGTGGCCACCTCCTCTTGGCACCTGCCCGCTGGGCAGGGCTGCACATGCTTGCTGCTGGAAGCAGCTCCATGGATGATGATGCTGCCAGGTTTGGAGGACCATTATTTCTAATAATGGTCACATTATTTCTACAGGCCAACAGGAGTAAAAAGAGAAGAGCTGGATTTATTTCATTGCTACATTGTACATTGTGGGGACATCTTAGGAAAGCTGTTCAAAGGAACATTAAAATGCCATTTTTAATGATTTTTTTTTTGAATAGCAGCACATGGAAAAATATTTTAGCACTTACCAGGTGAAGGGAGAGATTTTATTTTGTGTTTCTTTTTTGTTTTAAAGGGAAGTCATACACCCGAAAAGATATTTCTAACATGATTAATATAAAGGATATTATGGAATAAAAGCTTCTTAATTGTAAATAGGTAAAGTTTCTCATGAAAGCGTTTGAAATTTTACATCAGTAATGCTTTATAAATGATCAAACTCCTTAATGGCTCTTGGCATTCCCACACTTGGAGGGAGTTTCCTCCCTTAGTGCCAAGTTTGTGCTCTGTAAGCAGGCACCCTGCCTAAGGAGGAGAAAACAGGTGCCATCTCCTTCTCCATGTCTTGTCCAGTTCCTTTCCCAGGTAGGCAGCATTTCCTGGGCCAAGTCCCTGTCCACAGATGGTTATCCCTAGAATAAGCTCAGTGTGGACATTTCTCATCACTTCCTCCCATCAGTTTCTAACTGAAGAGCTTCTCTCCTGGACCAGAAGGCATTTGTCTTTCACTCTCAAAATATGGTGCTGTTTGTTAGAAAAACAACAGCCAGGCGACTTGGTCACAGCTGGAAAGTCAGACCAAGTCTTTTCAGATACAAGACTGCAATAGGAAGCCTCTGCAATGGCAGATAAGGAAACTTATCAGAGAGTGCTCAACCCTGAAGAATGCTAGATGGGCTCTGCGGTTGATGGCATGCATGCAGAGACTTACTGAGAAGCAACATGAAGACTGAAAATGCAAATCTTGTCAGTCATGTTAAGAGAGAAAGGGAAACCTCAATATTTTCCTTTCATGGCAACAAACGCTTGTGCTTTCTCAGGGGTTGTCATATGAGAAGATAATTTATAAAGGAAATCCCAGTCACTGGAAAGGCAAGTTCCTGTTTGTGCATAAGATTTTGAGGCCATGTTGCCTTAACTAAAAAAAGTAATCAAGAGAAGAGCCTTTCAGGTGAATCGTCCTGATGAGTGTGTCACCATTTATACAATTTGGCAGAGAACAATACAACCAAAGCTGTTGTCTCTCAAGTGCATCTCAGGAAATATTCAGCCTTTAGAGTTTCTCATGCTGGGTTTTGTCACCAGTACAACATTGCAGGTGTCTGTCTTTCAGCAACATTAAAGCAATCAGTTCATTTTTCTCTGAAAAGAGAGAGTCCGTTTTGCAGTATGAACTACTTGAGAATCACAGAATGGAGAAGGTGCTGTGATAGAAAATAAACTTCCTTTGTAGAAGAAGTAAATAAATAATCAGTATGATATTTCCCCGCCTCCTATACTTTGATGGAACTAGAAGAGTCAATAAGCAACCAAATGGCTTTAGATAGCACTGATCTCCTCTTCAGGTGGGAGAATGGTCTAGATGACCTTTTCTAGGCCAGATATCTCAGTTTGTCTGAACATTTCTAGTGCATGAAAAAAGTAATTATTATTGGCTATGTTTTGCTCTTGGAAGATGCAACAATGGTTTCTTCAGTGACTGTAATAGAATTGCAATGGAATTTAAAATGAGGTAATGAGGTCATTCTGTATTCTATATTCTCTGAATAATTATTTCTCACTTTTAAGCCAGTTTCTTCTTCTCAGTCACTGAAATTGAAAAAAAAAAAACCTCAGACACCAAACTCAGAAGTTCTTATTGTGCTTCGGCAACTCTGACAGAGTAATTCCCAAGAATTGTAAATAATGTGGATGAATCCCTCTTCTGTGCTGAGTAATAAACTGCCTTCTCATTTCTGACAATTTCAGAGACAGAGCTGGACATCTAATTATCTAGGATGCCATTTTTCCAATTAAATGCTGGGTTTGCTCCATGAGTTAATGTCTTCACTGGTGGATTAACCATCTGCCATTTGTTCTCCTCTCTAAGCTCTTCACAAAAACACATGCCCAGAGAAGGGATCTAGGAAAGAAAAACACAAGCAGGAATTACTAGCAGAGTCTTCACTTTGATGTGGAGGACAGAGCTTTGTTACAAATCATAAGAGAACACATCATGAGAACATTCTGGGAATAAACACCAGGATATTTTGCTACTTCTGAGATGAACTGAAAACGGAAACGAGGCCTGTTGGATACTAGCTGAGCTTGTGTCATACTCCCGAATTTATACCTGGATTTGATGATCAAGCTGTATTCACTTCTTATGTATCATACTGATAGTAAAAATACAGTTAAAGCCTCTTCCTTTGGAAATACCAGAACAGCTGGTATTACAGTATGTCCTGGACAAAAGGTAAACTGGGATGAAGAAATCTGCTACTGGTGCCAACATAGAAAACAAAACATAGGAAATATTGGTCACCAAGTCTCAAGTGCAGACCTGAACTGTAAAGCTGGCAAAGAAACCCATTTCCATTTCACTTTGAAGATGAGCAAATAAGGTATATAACCACACAACTTCTTAAAGAATGACTCACAGAATATAGCTAATTTTAGACTCACAGCAGCACTGGGAGGAGAGAGGAGACTCTTACCCCTATTCCTCTACTAAGGAGACCAGATTCAGACAGCGAGGTTTTCAAATGCTCTTGTTGTGTTACTATTATCTTGCATTGTCTTTCTATGGAAGCTGCATAAAACTTTTCTCCAAAGACTTGGTCTCTAGACACATACAATTCATGGATAGAAAAGCCTGTCTTGATCATCAACGCTATGCTAAAACTACCTGAGTTTCCCTTTGTAATGAGGGTATTAATTTGGTGGGTATTAGCTTGTATACATGTATCCCAAATGGTATAAGCAAGCTTCTTATTAAATATAATAATGCAAAGAGAGAACTTCCTGCTGGGAAAATCTTCTTACCTTTCGGACCACCTGAGCAAAGTCGCCGCTTTCTCTGGCTGGGAGCCCTATCAGAGGCCGAGTGAAAGATGCCAAGGAGGAGCCATGGCCCACAATGAGGATGACACCTGATATATGAGAATAACCCAAGAAAAGCAGTAAGGAAGCTGCAGCACTGCCTGATGTCTATGTTGATAGATGTGAGGCAGTTTTGGGCCTCTTTGTCTTTGTAAACCTCTTTGACAAATGTGGCAGAGCGTATTGTACTGGTCAGAAAAAGTCTGATGTGTTGTATGCATGCTACTGGTAAGAAAAAGCACTTCCTAGGGAAAAAGTAGCTTTCCAGAAAAACATATTGTCTCATGTTGAGCTATATCCTGACATAGAAATGCCAAACAAAGATTATATTTTTGCAATGATGTATATAAGTACATAATTTCATATAGATTTTGATATGGCATAGTTCTGGCCAAGGTCTAAGTGTCTGCCTTAAATGCTGGATGATGCCAAAAACCTGTGCTTCTAGTGGCAAATCTCTGCCAGTTTCTGAAGCTGTTGCTGAAAGTGCGTGATGAGATGTACAAAGATCTGAAACATTTACCTTTGCTGGGGCAGGCAGTGACTATCTGTTTTATAACTGTGGAGCTTCTGCTTACATATTCTTCATAAGTTTCTGATGGCATCAGAGAAGAGAGTGGGAAGTTACTCCTGGCAATAAAATCACAAGAAAGTGTGTAGATTAATACTGGGACAATGTCAGCACTATTGAATGAGCATGCCAGAGAAAAGGCAATTGATTGATTAAAAGCAAACAAGCCTATCCACTGATATGGCTGGCATACTGATATCACAGCTTGCATGGAACATTATCCTCTTCCATAGTATTTTCCATTAAACCTTCTGCCTAAATCTTACAGCCATGTCCTGTCTGTGTCCTGTCCTCCGGGCTAAAGTGCCTGCAACAATTAGTTATCTCTATTATCAAGGTGTCCATGCAGGTCCATGCCATGCCATGGCATTCTTTATGACAGAATTCAGCATGCTGAAACTCATTTCATATTTTTTTATTTCATCCTCTTAATATAACTTGCATGGGAACCAGAGATGCTCACAGCTACATCTAGCAAGTGTAGTTAGGCACATGCTGTGATACAATGCAGGATGGTGATTTCCTTCTACAAACAAACCTACCCTCCTTCACCTGGTTCAATTGCCTTCTTATCCCATGAATAGCAGTAGTGAGATTAGGTTAACATATTGCCATAAGGTATGATGCCATAATATATTTCCTAGATGAACCCATCAGTACATTATGTCAGTACAAGCTGCAGAAGTAGAGAATGCATGATAAAAGTTGGTGACAGGCTCATTCTAGATTATTATCTACGGTTAGTATTAATTCTGATTAGGCCAGAGAAGTCTAAAATGGGGAACCAAAGCTGGTCAGTCATTTGACAGAGCTGCAACTTTGTAATGTATTGGCCTTTAGCATCTCTGTCCCTTCAATATTAACCATGTTATTAACTGCTTGTCCAGCAAATGAACTGAGCATCCCCAAAGAAGAGTAGGTATCCATATCTTAGCTTCTATTTGGTATACGTGGAAGCGGGCAGTGGCCCAGGTGGCTACCAGGCTAAAGAACAATTTAAGTGTTCAGCCCAGCTTAAGGTCTTGGTGACAGTATTATGTCCAGTTATGAGTGCTATACTTCGAGTGTGATGAGGACCAACTAGAGATAATCCAGAGGACAGCAGTGAACTGGAAAGCACTGCCTGCAAGGAAAGATAAAAAGAATTCAACTCGGAGAAAAAGACTGAAAAGATGTGGTAATAGTCTGCGAAGGATTGTTTTGAAGAAGAAGAGGGATCTGTCCTTGTATGAGGGATATCTCATGTATGGAGTGAAGAGGAAAGAAATAAGCAGCTTTCATAGAAGGAAGGAAGCTCTATGTTCTAAACATTTCTCAAGCATGGAAGGTGCAGCAGTGGGGCTGGTTCTCAAGGCAGATCTCTTGAGAGTCTGCAGTAAGCACTCTGGAAGTCAGAGTTTATGCTGCCTTGGGACAGTGACGATCCCCTCTCATACCAGCTCTATGGTGATTGAAAGGATGGGAAAAGAGAGTCAAAGTCAATCTCACCAATGTTAGCTGTTTACTCTTTTGGTGTCCACTTAAGTCACCTAAAATAAATAAATAAGCTCCTGCAGAGGGCAATTCATGCTGTGTAATGTGTCTGACATATAAACTACTACTATAAGACATAAGACATAAAATCCGTCTCTGGAGATGTCCCTGTCTTTCCACTAACGAGAAGGCTAGATAATTATATTAGCCTAGACACCCATCTTGGAGATGATCTCAACTGAGTGACTGAATCTCAAAATGATTTTATCTCAGCCACACAAGACCTGGGCAGCTTCAACATCACTCATTTGTGTTGCCTCCTGGTGGTGCTAGAAACAGGCGACCTTGGCCCAAGTCCTCACTGATGGGGTGAGTATAGTAAAGCTGCCTCCTGGAACCAGTTGATTTTGGATGTTGCATGTGGCAGGAAGCAAACAAGAAAACAGCATGATATGTGTGAGTTTAGAGTTCATCTGTTCTTTTTCTGTCTTGATCTGAGTGAGTTTTGTGGGGTCTGGAAGCTGTAGCTAAGGCTTCTTCAGAGTTTTCCCACTGAACTTTTCACAGCTCCCCATTTGTACCTTTTCTATGTGGAAGGTTGGTTAATTTTTGAGGCGAGTGAGTCTGTGTAGAAAAAAATGGGGAAAACAGGCTGTTGTTGTTAAAACACACCGGAACATGCTATGACGCAAGAAAAGGAAAGATTTTATGCACCTTAAAATGAAGAAACCTCATCGTAAGAAATCGGTTAAGGCATGAGAAGCTTCCTTTCCCCCTTTCTTATATAGGTGGGAAGCCCCAGAGATACTCACTTTTATTAGCTGAGTAATTTCCTGGATCTGGCTGTGCACTGCAGACACAGAGCTGCCTGGTCTGCGAGCAAGATGAGGAGTTAGGTTGAATGGAGGCTTATCATTTCCTGCTCTGCCGTGGTTTGCAAATGCTCAGAAACTGCATCAAACCCCAGACTGTGAGGGCCTCCAAAAGTCTTTGCTGAACACAGCAGCACAGCACTAATCTTTGAAGAACTCAACGACACCCTTCCCCCACTGAGTTTGGCACCAACATCAGTCACAGTGAAATGCTGTTATCCTGCCTGCCTCCAAAATCTGAACGATAGCTGGCCTGTTTTGGCCAGGGGCCGGAATCATTTACCCTAACACTCGTCTGTTTTGCTTCCACCTGTCTCTTCCCCAGGGAGCATGGGAACAGCCATCACTTTCTTCTTCTGATGTAACTGTTGCTTCTGAGGCCTGTGTATGCAGACCACTTGTTCTGAGTATTTGTTTGGGAACAAATTCTCAAATGTGTGCACACGTTCATATAAGAAAATGGTTTGTCTCTGTGTCAGAGCAGTAAATGTAATTGATGCTTGTCACAAGGCAACTGACGCCACATCTTATTTTGTCAAAGGATCATGCAGAATTCAATTTGATCAAAATCACCCATTTCTAATGCAGCAATGGTTTATGACATATAAGAGCTGAGAAAAGAATAAAAGAAATCTCAGAAAGAATATTTTTTTTTACAGATAGATAGGCATCAATTACCTGTAACTTGTATCTACTTTGTAAGAGGCCTCAGTCAGTTCTGTCATAGTCATAAAGTTAGGAATTAGTTTGCTTGCTTCCCACTTTGTCCATTCAAAGAGTCCTGGTTCCACTCTAATTTTGAGTTTTTGATCTAATTTAAGGCCTGGAAAAAAAAAAAGTTTCTTAGAAAGATCCACTCAAAGTGCTACATTCAGACTGTACATTGCCCATATTTGATGCAAAATTTTCATTAACAAAATGCCAAAACAAAAAGAGGATTGCAAAACAAAAGAGGATCATGTTGATTAACTGAAAAAAGCATCATTCTCCTGCCTGACTAATATTAAGGCACTGAAAATTCTTAAATTATCATTACATCTGGAGTTCTGCTGTGATCATCTGAAAGATCCAGAAAAGGTTTGGAAGAGAAGACCTTGATAATGCTGCAACCTGCAACATCCTACCTCACATGTCCATTCCATATCATACTAGATTCCATCATAACTAGAGATGATTCAACTTAAAAATATCATCCTATTAAGATTACACACATGGCAACAGTTTTTTACTGCCTACATTACCTGCTAGATAAAATGACCTTTTCTTTCCTGCTTATATATATAACAATAAACAACCATGGAGTTGTACAATGTCTTAATTGTACATCTCAGAGAGTTCATAAAAATTAGACAGAGACTCTTTCTCCATGGGAAAAAAAAAAAAAAAGGCCCTACTCAGTTTTTCTGCCTTACCTTCCATGACGTATTGAGCTGTCTGTATGCAGCGGAGTGCAGGTGATGAGTATACATAGCTGACTGCCACCTCCTGGTCCAGCAGAGCTTCTCCTGCAAGGAAACAGCCATGTGAGTTGTTTTTTTACCGATCATTAGAGATGAGAAAATACTGAAAATAATTTCTTATGGAAAAAAATTCTTGGATGTTTTATTTCCATCAATGTGGGATATATTGACAGCCCCTATCTATTCATTTTTACACACTGTTGTGTGACTGCACTAAGTAGAAAGCTCATTCTGATGGCAATAACAATTTAAAGGGAATGTTGGAAAGATAATTATGGAAGAAAGATAATTATGGAAGAAAGATAATTATGGAAGAAAGATAATTATGGAAGAAAGATAATTATGGAAGAAAGATAATTATGGAAGAAAGATAATTATGGAAGAAAGATAATTATGGAAGATGAATCCCAAATCTGCAAATGGTACCTAGGGAATTTGGCTGTCTCCATATTTCTAAATCATCAGAGCTCCAGATTTTTATTGTCACAGTCAGACTTGCATGCTCGGGGTGCAGAAACGGCTTCATCTTAAAAGTGAATATAGTTAGACCAGCCCACATCACTCAACTACCTCATAGCTGACCATGAATCTGCTTCCTCAGGCCGGATACTCTACTTCTCACTCTACCTGGTTAATGAATGCTGCATAACACATTAGTTCCTCACACACATGCAGGAAGACGTGTGTTGTGTAGCAGCTTCTTTATTTCAGCACTCCTTGCCAGGAACTGGCAGGCTGTCTGTCCAAGAAGAGCAATCAAAACAGTTCTCTTTTTTACTATATAACAAGATCTTGTAATATTTTCCCCTAGAAGCATATTATCATAAAGAACACTGCTTGGAAGTATTTCTACTGAAAGGACAGCATGAATTTTTGCACATGATGAAAACTTGTTTCCCAAACGCCTGAGTTTGTAATGGAATATTATCCCACTTACCTGTAAGTCTTGACTGAAAAATACCACAGCAAGATAAAGGAGGATCGTGCTCAAATTGCTTCATGCTGTCTCTCCGTTTTGGTAGGTTGGAAGGAAAGTTCAGATCAGCTCTGTGGTATTTTCCTGAAAGGAGGTGGAACACTTTGCTGCAGTATGAAGGAGGCAGTACCTGAATACCATGTTTCATCTCACTGTAAGAGCTTTATCTTTTTTTTTTTTTTTTTAATTCTTGCATAGTTGATTCTAAGAACCCAGACTGGAAGTCAAAGTTACTCCTGTACTGGTAACAAAACAGGCTGGGACCTATTTTCCTGGCCATAACACCCAATGGCAAAGGAAGACATTTGCCCAAAGAATGAAACTCTCTTCCCAACATCCAACTCCAAACATCCAAACTATGCACAAGGAGCAATCTCTAGTCTTTGCTGTGCCCGAAACCTCTTCTAGAAACTGCGGATGAAGGAAAGCTATCATTAACCAAGATCGTGCCAAGGAGTTAGGTATTAACTAAACAGTTTGGAGGACAATGTCTGAGCTCAGATATCTATAAGGATTAGTTTGCCAGTAAAGACATAACATCTCACTGATTAAAAAAAAAAGAAATGACTACTATTACCTTAAGGAGATGACATTTTAAGGTCACAATACTGACTTGGGAAGTCACCTGTCCTAACAAAATAACATCTCTTTTGCAACCTCTGCTTTGCAAGAGGGCAGAAAGTGACAAGAATTTGCATTGTGGGACTCAAATAAGACAAATATTCACTCCATATCGATGTTCTATTCCTGTTGTCAAAATGACAAAAAAACTACTAAATAAAAATGAAATCAATTAATTGATTATAGTGCCAGAAAGTACCATCCTCATTATCTAGTGTAAAATTCATCATCATGTAGATGAACCCCAGGATAACAAGACTTTCAGCATAAAGCTTCCATCTGAACTTGCCCTTCTCCCTGTTCCCCTCCTCAATGAGTATTTCCCAGCTTTCGATTGGTTTTCTGTACCCACTTCAAATTAGGTCGATGCTGACATCATTTCCATCATTGTTTGTACTTGCTCTTCCTCACCAAGTTAGACTGATTAGTGTGCAGACCAGAACAGTGTTTTGTCTGACCTTACAATGTTATTCACTCTTCCTTCTCAGCACTTAGATTCACCTGAAAGAGTTTGAATTTCTTGGATCCCTGAGGCTGAATATCTAGTGGTTTTGGTTCTGGTTTGGTAAGAACTTCCATTCTCTTACTCACCATCTGCAGTTAAGCACTGTTGAAGCCAGGACTTCCCAAAAACCTGATCAACTCTTTCACCATGGCGCATCACCAGTAGACCTCTTCGAATAGTGGTGTTCTGAGAAAGCTGTATAAAATTTTTTGGATTTTTGTTTGTTTGTTTGATGATGGTATATTTAACATGCATAAAAGGTCTGGATTCCACTGTCTAGATGTTGACCAACAGAGTAAGGACAGCTGTCTATCCCTGAAAGGTGTATAGCACAAAAAAGCACTGCAAGTGAGAGAAAGGAGCTAAGGAGTTACTATAATGGAGGAGTGTCTTTAGACCAGGTAGTAAGCCTGATCAATTCCCTATTGCAAAGGCAAAGGCAAGACATCTCCGACTTTCGTGGGCTACAAATTAGGTTTTAACTCTATATTTACACTAGTAAAAGGCAGTGCTCATAACAAAACTTTTAATATTTGTAAGGGAAATAATTATAACGTAATATATATTATATGACTGATATAAACAAAAGAGACTGTAAACTAACGGATTTTAGCTGTAATGCCCTTTGCTACACCAGGGCTAACAGGGAGCCTTTTTTTTTCTCTTTTCCCAGTGAAGACAACAATTTTAACTGCTTTATACTTCTTATAAATGTGTTTGGCCAAATCAATAGTGAACCTAGATCTTCCCTGTGGCTAGCTTTTAAATCAGACTGTGTGGAATTGCAAATATATTCTAATAAGTTTGGGGTTAGTTTACAACACACATAGATATACATGAAAAGATAAAGAGGAACAGGTCAAAGACTTAAAACTGTCTCAGTACTAACCTATCACAGTGCCACTGCTGCAACACAGAGGTTAGAGATGTGTATCTTCAGAAGCAGAAGAGGGAATTCTTAAGAAGCGAGATGAGATTTATATTCACTTATTATGTTAAACACAGAATAGCACTGCATTTATGCTGCAAGACACTAATCATCCCCCATGAGAAGATGAGAGTTCAAAACTAAGGTTTTGTGGTCTTGTTCTGCTGCTTGGGAGGAGCTCAGAGGCTGTGGAAACTCCTAGACTGCAGGCATTAACGTCTTCAGGCTAAGAGGTGGCTGTGCCACAGATCTAAGCCAGATAAGAGGGGACAAGAGCACTTGAGAACTGGGGGAAGATGTGTGAGTCTTGCAAAAGTGTCTCTCTTACAGACATTCACACAGTCATCTTGAGATAAAATATTTAAATGTACTAAGATCTGAAACCATGTTAGCCATTAAGGTGAAATCCTTAGAATTTGTTCATGAAAATGACAAAAATCTGAAGTGAAAACAACTAACTAAAGCTGTTGTAGCTACTCTACTATGAACTCTTCTGGAAGACAAGGGAATAGGAAACTTGAGAAAACTATTTTTCCTTGTGTCTGCATCTTATTTGTGAGATTCGTCCTATATCTCTGCACAGATTTTCTGCTAAGTCTGTGCAGAGAAAGCTAAGCAGACATTTTAAATATTGTGCTATTGCAAGAGGAATAAAAAGAGATTTATGAAGGAAGGCAAGAGTACACATTGTCAAGTGTACATGAGATGCTATACCATATAGTGTGAGTTTATGCGTGTGCAGATATACGTATGAGCATTACACTATAACATGACAATATGAGAAAGAAACAGGAGGATATTATTAAAATTACAAAGGTTTTTATTTAAGAGTATATTTGCACAAGCACTTGACAAAACTAGGGAAAAAAAAAAAAAACTCAATTACCTGAGCTGAAAGTATACTGGTTAGACTTCTTGACATAACTGGATTATGGACTTCTCCATTCAGCTTTACATTAGGTTCATTTTCAGCTTGGGTGAAAAATCTCGAAGCTGGTACAAAAGCATATTCTCTGTAGAAAAAGTAGAAGCAACACACACACACACAACACAAACATGGGTGCACACACAAATAGAAAGGATCTTTAAGTCATGCCATTTTATAAGAGTGTGAGAGTCAAGATTCATATTCTGTTCAACAATCTTCACACACTTGCTATCCAGTTTATAACTTTGCTCTTTAGCTAGAATCTGTCCAGTAGCTAGGGCACAGTAGCAGAAGGAGGTTAAAATGATGGTAACTGACAGCATGTATTGTGTGCCAGCCTTCTAAAAGATGAACTTTGAAAGGAAAATGTTACCTCGCGACCTCCTATCTGTCTCTATGGACTCAGCAAGGACTGTGCCTACAGCTCCATCTTAGAAAAATTGGATCTAATCTACAAGTACCATCAGTAGTGCTGACAGCCACAGAGCAAAGTGCAGGAAGCCAGACAGATGCCTGTTGATATGGGTGAATCAACAAAATGAGGATGGGCTCAAGGTGATGCATTTTTAGGTTTCAAGTTAGCTTTGTCACCACTCAAAATGAAAAGAATAAAAGAGAAAAGAAGAAAGTAGTAACCCAGCCTGAAGTCTCAATCTGCACTACAGAACACATTTTTTTAACATTTATTAGGATGTTATGTTTGTTCAAGAGCAAGCAGAGGTTAACCTTTCAGCAGATGAACTAATGCACTTGGGGTTTCTATGGGTGGCTGTCTCATATCTTTTATTGCAGAAATGCTAGTTCCTGAGCATTCATCTCCTTCAGCTAGGAGATGGTCTTTGGCATGTTTAGGCATGCTTTGGCAAGCTCTCTTCTGCCCACACCACCTGCAGCTTGCACCTGGCAGCCAACAGCTAACAGCATGGATGAACTCTACAATACCTCTGACATAGGACAAGCGACAACTTACCTGTGTTTGACCCAAGTGTCTGACTCGTTGGCTCTCTCTGTGTAGTTTTCAGGAATAAAACCTCTGCAGCCAGTCCGGTGTGAGGTCCCGATCACCCAGCCTTCACTCACATCAGATTGCTGTGTTGGGTCAACATATATGAAGTCTCCCACATTTATCATTAGCTCATCGATGTTCTGAGGCTTATACTGGAAGACAGCCCTCAGAGTCTGGAGGAAAATACACAGGACATAGCTGTTTTATGTGCTACAGCATTTTGGAGGACGCTTTTTTAAACTCTGTACTCTACAAAGCAACCTATCTCTGCAACTGTTATGCTCTGCAACTTGTTCCTTAACAATACTTCAGCAAAGGAAAAAAAAATAACGCATATACTGTATATGTAAAAATAGGCATTCGGTACTCATAAAAATGCTTCATTTTCCTGTAAAAAAGTATACTGATTTAAAATAAGACATTATCAACTGCATTCAAAGCATTACCAACTCTTGCAGTATCAACTATTATTATATCAACTATTATCAACTAACAATTATCAACTTGCAGCTTTACTGACTGACCAAAATCCAATACAAGACTTATACTAAAATGATATGCAGAGCTGACATAATGACCATTTATCATTCTATAGTTTAAATTTGGAAAAGACAACAGGAATAATGTCGGTTGTTTTCAACATCAGTGAACTGTGCCCCGCTCTCTGATATTTAACCTGCATTGGAACAATCAAAAATAATGTAATTTTACTGAATGGAATTTTACTGCAAAGTTGTGATCTGGCCAGTTCTAGCAAATATTAAAAGATTATGTCCTGTCTCTTTATTTTCTTGTGTCATTGCAAGTTTAGCTTTCCTGGAATCAGATCTACCATAAAGGTATCTTTTACAGTGGATAAAGGATACAGTTTTTCACCTTGAAGAGATACTTGGAACAACCTTGCATTTTGAAATATTGTAGTGTGCTTGCACTGATTTTGTTTGTGAAAAAAGCAAGATGGCTGCAGAAAAGATTTTAATTAATGAGTCAGAAAAACAAATAACTCTGATGGCAGTACCTGGTAATGCACAAAACGCATATCCCTTGAATAGAGAGCAGCTACCCACTGGCAGGCCTCCCCTGGGTTGAGGGATTTGGCCAGCTGCTCCAATGTCTTCTGATGGTGAGGATAAAACTTGTGAGCCAAAGTAAGATGGACCTGTTTGTGGCAGGGTTTCACATGGCAATCTAAAAATAAAACAATCAGCTAATGTCACAAAATAGAAACAAAGGTCACCTAATGTTCTTCTTGTTGATTTATCCTTATCATTGGCATGATACAGAAAATATCAGTGCTTAGTGGTAGAGTTGATCCTATGTGTATTGAATAGCTGTTTTACTGAATATCGTGGTTTTAATCATACTGAAATATTCACAGATCTAGACTGTATTTGCTTCTAAGCTTCAGCCCGGAAAAGACAGTTAAAAAAAATCTCCATGTAGATTTGGTTTTATTTGTTATTCTTAGGGTTGTTTTTCTCTGGGGAAGAATGAATAGAGTTTGAATTCCTCTTCCAATCCTAGATGCTTCAAACTTTTATCTCCCAGACAACGCTATTCATGGATCAAGGCCCGTCAGTCTCCACTGATGATTCAGTTTCACGTGATTGTCACTGGAGCAGGAATTAGTACCTATTTCTCGGGGATGTGGTCAGGTCATTATACTATGCAACAGCACGTCGAGAGTGCTCCCTGGTTCAGTTATTCGAGGTAAATTAGAGGAGCTCCATCACGAAAGCCTAAGGTGACCTCATTTTCACATGATCTACGTGAAGCTGTGTCCGATGTGCCCCTGGGAGGTGGCAGGGATGGGTTCAAATCTCCTTGAGCAGAAAGCCTTTTGAAGTTTTGTCCCTGGGTAAATGGTCTAACTATTGAAATACTGGCTATCATGCTAGAAGATGGTGTTTTCTTCTCAGTGCCTTCACTTCCTTGGCTTTTCATACTCTGATTCGGGCCAGAGCAACATTTTCATTTGACACAAAGCCTAAATGTTGACTCTATTTCACTGAGAAAAAAAAATAAAAAAATTGAATTGATCCAAGAAGGTTTAATTCTGTGATTGACTTGGGTGTGAATCTGAACCACCAATGATTCCTGTGGCCGGCCCTAAAGCCTCTTCTTCAGTACTGCCCTGTGAGCACCTTTGACTTAACTTACAGCAGAGTACCTCCTTCCTGCAAAACCAGCAACCAAATAAGTAACATTTGTGCTCCCTGCCCCTCATTTCTTTCTGTTTGGCATGCTCAAAGCCTCTTTAGCTTACCCCAATGGAAAAAAAAGAAAAAAAAATCAGTTAAATTTGAGTGCAGAGCTTATAGCAATGAAAGCACCTGTGAGACTCTGCACTGGTGCACAGTCTCATGATTTGTGAGCCACATCGTCCTGCCTCTCTGACAGCTGCTTTAGGGGCAATCTCCTAGCCTATCTTTGCTTTCACAGGGTGCAGTTTGACAGCACATTGCCTTTAGGGCTATGGGGCTCCCCTCCACCCCAAGCTCCGGCTACAACCCACTCACCACAGCAGCTCACCACATCCTCAGCTTCACATCTGCCAGCACAGCTGCCTGCTATACCAGGCTACAGAAGTGATCTGTGTGAAGGATAAACTTGCATGCAAGAAGGAGGAGGAGCAGCAATTATTTTTAACCAGGACTTTACTGATATGCTTTATGAAGAGGTCTCAAAGGTGATGGACCCTGCTCCATGCAGCAACCCAGTTTGTGAAATCAGAAACATGACTGCAAAGGCAACTGTGAGCTCCTGCAAGGCTCTGCTGCAAGGGCAGGCAATAGCATGAGTTTTATGGAGAACAGGCAGTGTGGATGTGAGGCTGAACATGGGGGGAGGAGGCCCTTTTCATTGGAAAATTACCCCCAAATCCTAGGCTCTCCTTCTCCTCACAGCCCAGGCTTTTGGCAATCCCAGGGCAGCAGAAGTGCTTGGCTTAGAATATACACCTGCAATTCCATATTGCATTTTTACCCTGCTAAATGCTAATGGACAAGGTACTGCAGTCACCTGTGACATGAGTGCCAAATAGTTGTCTGTCCTTGCTGCCCTTCAGATGAGCAATGTAGGGGTTGAGAGATCACTATCTGGCACATAACCACTGAAAGGAAACAGGTGACTCAAACTCAAGAACAGAGGGGAGCACCATGAGCACCAGGGAAAATCCAGGCCTGCTGATTGTATTTCTTCTTTCTTTCGTTTCTGTCTTCCTTTCCAGCGTGGCCACAGAGATATGAACACCTTCAAAGACAGAAAGGTCTACTGTCTCACAAGGCTGCATGTGAGACATCTTTTCTGTTTTCCTACTGTCTCCACCCAGTCATGATATCCAGTCATTGGTGAGATAAAGAAGAAGCAGGGGCTAGGTATGGAGGCCTAGAAATAGGAGGATTATACCTCTGCCCATCTTGAATATCTAGATCATTAGCCTGTTAAGTTACACAGCCAACCGTTTCGTCTTGCAGCTCAAGAGAAGAAATGTATACAAAAACACAATGAGGAAGAAATAACCCAAACAAAGCCAATCCCACAGGAACTCTTATGTAGCTGCACAAAAATTAATAACCTTCAACACATTTTCAAAATCATTGGAAAGAAGCACAGTATAAAAGCTCAGTAAACTAAGAGTTACTACCATTTTGAAGGACTGCTCTACCCATCAGCTGCCTGCAAGATGTTGCCAAGTAAAACCTTCGCCTGAATTTCCTAAAGAAGGTGAAATTAACAAAAATTTGGAGCAGTTTTCTTTTTTCTTGTCTACTCATTTTGGCAAAAGCATTGTGTCTTCAGAATCTAAAACAAGTTACAAAAAGATCCTAGACATATTATTTTCCATTCTGCAGGAAGAAACTGTGCTGGCTTGTAGCAAAATATCAACTTAGCACCTCCAGAGGCACAAGAGGTGCTTTCAGCATCACATCTAAGCTGTTTTTCTACAATCCACTCATTTCCCAATTGATGTTTATCCTACCTGCTAAGGCTGAAGCCTCTGCAGAGAATGCAGTAGCAAATTCTTTGAGGATATTTGCATGGCTTTCCCCAACAAAGAAACCAAGGTAGCTGGTGGATGAATGTAGTGATAGGGAAATGAATGGTGGAAAGCACTGTGAAAAGCTTTCACCAACTCGCTTTAAGACCTCATACAATAATTCCACTTTCTGGTCTTCACACTGAAAGAAAACAGAAGAACATACTAACATACATACATTACAAAACATACTAACAACCATTTTCCTAGACTGTCTCATATAGTGATACTAGAAGCAAAATGGAAGATAGATTTCTTGAGAAAGCTAGCAGATCTTTGAAATGGGCTGAAATTCATAGTGTTAAAATCACTACTATAGGGCAGTTTGGTCAGCATAGTGTGTTGGTGCTGCAATAGGAGACAGTTTTATCATTAGGTGTATCTAGGCTAGGTGAGAAGGACCAAAATTTTTTTACCATCTGATAAGTAGCTGGTCTGAAATGATGCAGTTGTTATGACTTTCCTCTCTAATTTTAAGTAAGAATTTATATTATTGTTATCATGCAGTCTTTAGCTGAAATTGGTCCTATTAAACCTTCAAAATCTCATATGCTGAGCTGCATACATAGTAAAATTCACCAGGAATTTGTGTCAGATAATTTTTAATGTTCTAATTACAGCAAATCAGAGGATTGTACCAAGACATGCCTTAGCAAAAACTGGTAATTAAGCAGTTGAAGAAACGAAAAGATGAAGATGGCATTTGTGCCGTTCAGCCAAAGACACAAACATTAACAATGCTCCCTCTCCTTACATTTTCTTCGCCTTAACTGAGCTATTTGCTCCATTTAGTCTTTACATTGGGTCAATCTGTTGAAAGGAAGACCCCAAGAGAGGGAAGGAGCTACAAAAAAGGAAACCGTAGCTATCTGGGTGGTGGGGAAGGTCCAAAGCATCTATTGCGCTCTGTTCTGACAGCGGAGTTTATTTGCTCACAACATGGGTGCATCACCCTCTATATGACTCTGTCTTTTGAACTCACCAATGTTAACCTTTAAAGCACTTCCACTTGCTATTTAAACAGTCATTCTCTGTTAGGCATTTTCGCCATCCAACACTCCACTTGCAAGCCACCACCACAGCACACTTGTCTTGCACTTCCTACAAGTCATGCAAGCTCTACGCAGACAAGCCAGTGGATGTGCTAAAGGAGAGCACTGACGTACTGGTTCTTGTGGGAGGAACTGGAGACCACATCTAGGGCAAGAACTGTCCCACAGGCTCCAGTGAGTACCCAGCACTATGTGCAAGTCCATGAGCTGCAGGAGACTTATAAAGTCAGGAGATAGCAGAGGGACGAGTCGGGAGGAGAAGGTGGAAGCCAGTTTAATGTGTCTCACTTTCCATGTGTGAGGTTCCCCGGTTCAGCTCTCGCCAACAGCTGAGAAAGAAAGAACTGGCTGCGGATATTTATGGAAGGTACATATATCCCTAGAAATATGCTACCTGAAACATGTCTGAGGTTCATGAGATGAGGGTTACAATTCGGTCATCTCTTCCAGGTCAGACCTTTAAACTTGACACCTTTCAAGAGCACAGCATTCGTTATTAATTAATGCTTTTGTTCCATATGATTGTGATTAATGGCCACAGCGTAAGAGGATATTCAGTATTCTGCAACAAAACACTCTAATAACAAAATAATGTTCACTGCCTGTGCTTAGTTGCAGGGTATAATGTGAAAGTATGATGAATGTAATAACTTGTCCACCTGCTCTACCTTACTTCTGTTTCAGTGCATCTCAAATGCAGCTGATGTTCACGTGCAGCATGAAACTGGGTTCTAGCTGTCTCCTGGGTTTTTCTAGACCAGGGAATCTTAGCCTTTGCTTATGCTAGCACATCCACCCAAACATGGGAAAATAGCACTGTTGAGACATTCTCTAAAGTGTCATCCAGTATTCAGAAGTACTAGGAGGACAGTAGCATCTTCAGAACTAGAAAACTACCTACCTATTAGGCTCCAGAGCCTAATTTCCATATTACATTATAGACAAAGTGACTCAGCTGCACTGCTGACTAGAAATCTGTCTCTCTCTTCTCCTTCTTTCCCATACATTCTGCTCTCCTCTCTATAACAATGACCAAGCTTCAACAGGAAGGTTTTACCACATGCCATCATGCTAATAGTTCAGCAACCAGACTCTGAGGGAAGCGGGGTGGGTTTCCCTGAGTTTGCCATAGGCCCAGTACCAAAGCTTCCTTCATCCAATGAAAATATTATCACTATTACATCATTGGCTAAAGGCAGCTGCAGTCAGCCTGGGAAGAAGGCTTAATGTCCTGGATCCAAGTGGCGAGCTGCATGTTGTGAGCAGTGTTTCCCATTAATCGGACCTGTTCAGCCAAGGCTGAACAGGGTTGCTCTAGACATATGAAATAACTATCACCCACTTGCCTTGAATCATCCCACTCATTTCAGTAGTTTGATACATGCTGAGATCTGAGTTAGGAAACTAAAGTGAGTGGTGGAAAAGTGGTCCTCAGGGGCTGAGCAAACTAACAGAGCCAATACTTATTCCTAGACCTGTGTCATATTAGTTTGATCATCAAGGAGAATTTTTGGTGAAAAACAACTGCAGGTGACCTAGCCAATATTTGGCCATTGCATGTTTTTTGTGCCTTACCGTAAAGAAATCGCAAAGCGTGATGTGTGGAAAAATCTCATGAGCTCTGTTTTTCCCACACTGGCGCCTGCTCTCTTTCCAAAACTCTTGCAGGCAGTTATGCAAGCGGCCAGTGGGGCACAAGTAGAGAGCATACTCCTGAGGGATTGGGTCATCCAAAGAGGGATCATTGCAGTGAGAGTGTAACCTGAAATTGAGAACATATTATACAAAGTAAGTGCTTGCATCACTTACTCTTCTTTCCCCTGCATGAAGACATCCATTGCAGAAAGTAGAAAAAAAAAAAGAAATACAAAATTATTATCCCCTGGAGATTAGAAATGAAAAGTTAAAATAAAAGCTGCTCACAGATTTTCTCTATGGAATATCAATTAATGGAGAAAGGCCTTTGGGACTTTGTTTCTGTTTATTTTGTTGTGTGTGCTTTCTATTTTATTACATGTCTTTACTCTTTTAGATATCTGAAAATGAAAGACAGAAAAAGAAGAGCTTTTGTCATTTTGTGGGGTTATTTTCCCTCTTTCATGATTGGAAGCAGAGAACTGGAAGAGAAAAAAGAGACAAAAGAGAAGAAGTTGAGAATGAGAAAATGAAAAATAATTGAAGTTTTAAAATATGTTCAAAAAGCACTATAAATTCTATTCAACCCTAGTGAAAGCAAAAATGACAAACCAGAAAATGCACAAGCAAAAGTCAGAAACTTTATATTGCAGATGATTTCAGCCTCTACCTTGTTCTATCTATTTAGCTTTACAGCTTTTATATTGGGGATGATTTTCAGAAGGATGATGGTATCCTTGACAAAGCTGTTTTTCATACTACTTTGATTTGGGTTGAACATGACATTGTCAAATTTCCTCTGTGTGTTCATAAAAATATCCCAAACGAGAACAGAACAGAACAAAGCACAGAACAGAAGCAGAAAAACAAACAAATAAAAAACAAAATAAAACAAAAAGGAGAGGGTGAAGAGAGATTAGGTTTGATTTGAATACAGATTAAAATAAAACAAAAAGTAATTTATCAATGTATGAATGCTCTGTCGGCATGTCAGAAGAAAGGAAAAAACTTAGCATATTCAGGACTAAATTAGTGATTTTGATTCAAATTGTTCATCCCTCTGACTGCCAGCCCTTCAATTTAGTTTACATGAGCCTTTCTCAGGGGAAAACGACTGCTGTGTTCACTTTCAGTTACTGCATACTCGATGCTGTAAATATATGGATTTGTAATGATAACCAGTACAAGGCGGACATATCTTTCATTTTTTCTTCCCTTTTTCCAGTTCTGGTTCTTGTGTATGAGCTCTGTGTCCTGCTGGGTCATGATGTTGTCTTCACAGAGGCAAAAACTACGCTTGCAGAAGCAACCACAGGCAGAAGCAGTTCCTGATGCCCAGTTGTTTAAACAAGCACTATAAATTATGAGGCTTAAATCTGAGCAGCTGTCTCTGACCTGTGTTGCTGATCATATGAGATGATCATCATCACTGGGTTAAAAGTTGCTGCACTTGCCCAAGACTAGCCCTTCCTCCCTAGCTTTTGATTTACCCTTTGTCTTCCATAAATAATCTCACCTTCCAGAGTAAGCAGTTACATTAAATTATTTCTTATTCTTCATGAACAAAAATGAAAGAAAGATAAACTGTATAAAATTCAAATGAAATGAATGCAGGATTTTTTATGGCAAGGGCTGCTGACTTCAGATTCACTGACAGAATCAGCACATGAACAAATATTTTTAACAGGTTTGATATGATAGTCCTCCTTAGAAATCACAGGCACTTACCATTTTGCAGCATCTTCTATTGTCTTTTGACCAGTGGCAGCCAAGGCTTTTTGCCTGGAAAAAAGCAAAACGTGTTTGTCAAAATAGCAGAATTAAAATGGTTTTCCATGACTCCAGGAACATAAAAATGGGCATTCTTCAGCCATCAAGTCTATTTTCAAGCACAAATAGGACCAACTGGAAGTAGTTTATTTCTGGAAGATGTTTATGTAACACTTTTGAAAAATCCTCAAGACAATCTTTTCCACAGCAAGGCTTTAATTTCTTAAAGACAATTATCCTATTCTTCCAACAGGATGTCCTCCTTTGTATTCTGGAGATATTTCCTTAGCACCCTTATTGACCGGCCAAATTTGCTTAGGGTTAAGTAACAGATCTGTGCACAGACTATAAGAGTAAGATGTGCTGTATTCATAGGATAATGTTCTTGCTAATGATAAATTCAAAATCCAGGCTGAGCCCACATTTTATATATACAACCAAAGCAAATCATACTTAGAGTTCGAATTTGAAAAACTGGATTAAAAATTCCCATAATCCATCAGGAAGACAGATCTGAGCCACAAACTCAGATGCAAACTCAGTCCACGGTAAGGGACAATGTCTCAAGTTTCTCTTTCATACGCAACAGTCATTCTCTGGAAACAAATTTAATTCATATTTCCTTTTCTCATGAGAACTTTCAAAATGTCACCAATGTCCTTCGCATGAACAAGGTGGAAGGTGGAAAGATAATACATTAAAAAAAAATCGACATCTACAGATAGGAAGTAGGGCAAAACACCAGAAAATCTATGTTAAAAGTTATGTCTTTAAAGGCAGAATAAACTAGTGCTTCCCTAAAGTATAAGACCGCTGGCACAGTTCAGTGCAGACTAAGAGTGAGAAAAGGCCCATTTTGCTGACTTGATGCTAGGCTTGATCACCATATACATGGATTTTGTTCCTTTGGGAAACATTGCTTTGGCATGTAAGTTCTACGCTGTGAACAATATTGTGATATATTGTGATATTCCATTTTGTTCAGGCCAGGATATCACAAAAGGACAATTTTTCAGTACTTCGATTTACAGCTGAAACCAGGAACTTCTGAGAAAGCTAAAAACATAATATAATTTTAAAGATCTAAAAATCATTATGAGAAATCAAAGGTAAAAACAAAAAGACTTTTGGACATTATATTATTTTATGTTGATTTGCATGATATTTGGGGTACTTTTTGTTTTTTTTTTGACCTGGGAAGCATAAACCCATCTCAGTAACAGCAGAAAATGTTTCAAAGGAAATTTGAAGATCATCACCTACAGAATCGAAAATTTAAAAACTAGACATTACTCTGGGGTGATCAATTACAGTATGTATTAAACACACAGGGAGCCAGATTCTCGGATAAGCTCCAGGATTAAAATTCCACTGGGCATGATTGGGAATAAGGAATCCAGAGTATCTTTGTAAATTGTACCCATTATGTCTGTGGTTGTCCCATTAAAAAGAGGTGTTCTTAGAAAAAAACAACACAGCATTTCAGTACTATACCTTTTCAACCGGTTTAATTTTCAATGAAAAGTCAAAATGGAAGCCACAAAGACATTCTGCTCTCCCTTTGCAAATAATTTTGATAAGGAGTTCTTTGACATTTATGTAAAAGGGGTTATTTTCTGAAGAGCAAGTGTTGACAAGCATGTAGTTCAACTGGCCACTGCACATACATCCAAAGTTGTCCTCCAGAAATTTGAAACTATCTGAACAATGTCTGGGAAGGAAGTGACCATGTTTCTTCTTTTTTATTAGTGGAGCAAATGCTGTTCCCAGTTAAACTTTCTTTAGTTGAGGTTACCAAGAATAACATCTCGTTCTTTATTATTATCTTGTATTTATATTATAGATATATTATAATCCTGTATTGTTATCTTGTATTTCAATTCAAGATAGGAATAAAAAACGATAAACTTTTTGACATTTTGTTGAACATACATATTAACATACCTAAACATATTAACAAAATATCTAAAACATATTACCAAAACGTGTCAATTTGTTAAAAAGCTTACCATTTTAAAACAGTTCCAGCGGCAAAACTCAACAAGAGATCTTTCAAGGCCTAACAACAACTTAATATAGAAGATACACTCACATTTAACTCAATAATAATGGTGAAAAATAAAAGAGGAACTGTCCCAAGAGTTAGTTATAGATATCATTTTCTTAAGTTGTTTTGAAGCCTCTCAACCTTAAGACATAGAAGAATATGGATCTCAATAGATAAACATAGCATTTTAAGTAACGGATAAAGAGCAGGTTATTTTCAGAATACGAACAGAAGACTGTTCTACAAGAACTTCAAAGCAAGACACATCCGATCCCTGTGTAGAGGCATCATCACTCAGAAAGGGTGAACTTTCTCAATTAAAAATGCAGGCTCTCTGTGTTCAAATTTTTGACAGATGTACCCCTTGCTACATAAAGGCAGCTGAAGCACATTACTCACGCGATATGAGCTGGGAATCCTTTGGTTAAGAGGGACTCAAGGAGCGAAGAGGTGCTTTTGTTCCTGTGTTTGTTGGCAACCTTTGCATAGAGCTGTGTCTCAGGCACCGCCATCTCTTCCACTGTACCTCTAAATATGTGTTCAGTGTTCACAGAAACTGGGGTGAGAGGATGAGGGTGAGATAGATACTGAAAGAGAGAGAGAGAGAGAGAGAGAGAGGAAAAAAAAAAAAAAAAAAACCTCAAACCTCCTGTGATCTTTCTGACAAAAGCTGATATCCTGTTTTCATAGCATACGCATGTCTAATTTTTTGTTTTAGGGCAGCTAAAAAAGCAAAAGCTATCTCAGTCATTTCTTGCCTGCCCCAGCAGAGATAAACACCACTGAGAGCAGAGACTTGCCGGGAGTGTGAGGCTGAGTTCCCTTCTCTCAGTCCTTCTTTCTAAGTTCTTTCTAGAAGAAATTTCCTTGAGCTGCTACTGAGGGGACATCCTGTGCCATATTGTGAAATTAGCTGATATGTTGAATTAAATTTTTGAGCTAGACTTCCATTCCCTAGCCAGCTAATCCTTGAATCTCTACTGTACAGGGCTCCCATTTTGGTGTCCTCAGCCAAAAAGCCATGAACTGGACATAATTTTTAGGGAAGACGAAATCAAATTTTTCTTTTTGAGGTTTGATCACCTGAAACTGGACTTGAAGCTGGACTTGAAGCAGAGAGGCAGCTGGGAAAACCTTTTCCTTCCCTTCTCCTGCAGTGCTGCTTTAAGGGAGAGACCACGATCTCGTGGTACTTTCGCAGAGATGCACCGGATGATCCCAAGGCCTTCTCCAAGTGATGGATCAGTGCTTTCCTTCCCATGTGCTGGGAGAAGGCAAACCAGCCAGGGAGTGTCCTGAGGTGCTCCCTGCTCTGCAGTATGTTCACAGAGGGGCACTGCTGACCTGTGCTGCTCCCCAGGTGAGGAAAAACCCTGCATATCACAGGCTAGAGTTCTACCACAAATAGGAGGTTAATGGGAGTGTTATGTGACATCCTGTCCTTTGGAAATGCCAATTTCCATCTTGTGTAGAGAAGGGATTGAATAACTTCCCTTCTTGGTATCAAGCTCCAGGAAGCTTGAGATTAACGTGGACAACCTTAGTTTCTTTCCTGGCCACTCAGGAGCCTTGTTTTACTTAAACTGACTATAGCTTTTTGCTTCACCTCTCCTCCTCCCTCTTTCCTCCACCCTCCCCTTTTCTGCCTCTCCTCTTAAAATAAAGGGTGAAGCCAAATTGTGCTTATCCTTGTATATCCTCTGAAGCTGACAATACATTTTCAGTTTCTAAATCAGAGAGTACAGAGGAGCTGATCTTTACCGTAAAAAACCAAACACACACAGTTTTCAGAATTATGAGTTACTGTTTGCAAAGTGCTTCCAAAGCATAGTGAAATATGCAATAATTGAAGTTATCTATAATTAAAGCACAGATCTGTTATTAAAACTCTGTTCAGGTGTAATCTTTGATGCAGTGCACAGCAAAGGAGAAACCAAGATATTGAATGGAGCAACTTCAGTGTGAGGCCTTGTTTGACAGAGGGGTGAAACCCCAGGGGCTTCTGCCTTCTGCTCTGCCTCTCATAGCTTTTGTCAGGTCCGTCTCTTCCACCTCATGATTTCTGATAAATGGCAAGCAAGCGCAAACCTGTGGCTTAACCTCTGCAGTGCTTCTTAGCTGAGGGGTTACAAAAAGGTTTGCAAATACTATAATATTATCTTACACTCTTATGCTAATTAAAAAGCTTGCTGATTTTTTTTTATCGTCCCGCTTTCGTAGCCATGCCATCCCAGGCTACCTGATAGCTCTCACCAGGTTGAATTACACAGACCGTGACAATAATGCCATATGCAACAAATGACTGAACTGGCTGCTCAGTGAAAACATTTCCACAGCAGACTGGCTTAGCGACTTCAGAATTTCCTTTTGGCTTCCTTTGATAATGAAGAGAGAAAACAGTTTTTCTTTTAACTATGACTTCTCAGGAAGAGGTAAGTGAGGCTCTGGGAGGGTGTGACGTCCTCTAGATAATGATACACCAGTGTTTATCTTTTGTGTAGTACACCACTCAATGCTGTTTTATTTCCAGATGAACAACGGAATTTGCACAAGTTATAAGTTTTTTGTTTGTTTGTTTGTTTGTTTGTTTTAACATGGACATTTCTCTGTCTTAAGGCTAGCAATTTCTATATAAAATTGAAAGACAAATGTTTAAAATTATAACATCTTGAAATACACATGGAATTTTATCAAATCAAAGAGTAAAAATCTGATAGTGGTTTGCTGAAAGGTGGAAAAAGTGTTCCATATGGCTTCAAAATTAATATCAGAGACAAAAGACACCTACTTTGTCTAAATCTCATCTTTGTAAGCATTTATTTGAACTGTTCCTGTAAACACCTTTAAGCTTACCCCCTCCACTGTCTTCAGCAGTGACTTCTTTCACTCCCTTGTAGGTTCAAAAAACCTGATTTTTCATGTCATTGATAATCTAGTGTTCAGAACAGAAGTCTGAAATTATAATTAGAACTTTGAAGATACTCAGAATTCCAGTGTAGCTGATCTTAATTGCTTTTCAGTATGTACAGTGTTCAAATATCTATATAATAAAATTCAATGCATGCACAAGAGTCCTGAAAGGTTCTGTTGAAGTGTCATATATTTTAGTCTTTCCTTTGTTTCCAGTTGCAATTAAAGAGTGTCTCATCTAGAAGGGATTGATACTTAAGAAAAAATGTCCTACAGTGGGAGTTATTAAAAGTAGCTGTGATGCCTAGACAAACTTGAGAAAACAATAACTTTAGTACTATATATATTACTCATATGATTTAAATACAAGAGCTCCTGTAATGAACAAGAAATATCTAATATTTTTACAAGGTGACTTCTCTTGGTGAGACACATCACTCTTGGCATTCTTGAAGAATCTTGAAAAACCCTGTGGATTCATTTTATATCTGTATTCAGCTCCAAAACCAGACTAATAATGGAAGTCTGAAGAAAAATTGCACATTCCTTAATATTGGAAGGGCATCAGACCTTCAAAGGTGATAGATTTATTTTGTTTAAATACCATCTTTTGCTTTCTTTTGAGCCAGATACAAGAGACAAATCCCAATACTGGAAGTCTTGAAATCATCTCGATTACAGAAGAAGAACTGCCAGTAACAGAGCTTCAATTTTCATTCAAAAGATTTTTCTGCATACCACAAACAAAAATTGACCCCAGTGCAGATGGATCTGGTAGGAATATTGCATAGTGTTTTTTCGCCCATTGAAATCTAAACAGCTAATCTAGGTCCTTAGCCTTGAAAAACTGTATGTGTCCTCTCATTCAGACATAACAGTTACTTAGGGGAAGGAGAAAGGGACTCTTCCTACTTGAACCATGACTTTTGCCAGCATGTTCATGGGTAATGATACCTTGTGTCTGTGTGCATATGCAGGCATTTTTCACAGCCAGACTATTCACATGCTTCAGCCTCAAAACAGAAATTTGCTTATACTTTTCTAACATGTTTTTGAACAACTCATTTGAATTTTTTCCAAACTGAATCCATGAAAAAAATGAATACACAATGGAGTAGCCTGGGAGGAATAACCTGTGTTTGCTGCATCCCATGGATTTCCTTTTTTACCTGTTGAAATCACTGAAAAAATAATTCCAACAGAAGCAAGATGAACATCAAGGAGGCAGCGAGAATAATTTAATTTTACAGTCCATTAGCCTCTACAGCTGTCTAAATTTTATTACTTACCAGACACCAGTTCTGATACCAAAACCAGGCATTCAGTTTCTGCTGAGAGGGTCTGAATAAACTGAGATTTAACTGTGATTGTGTCAATACTCAGAGAAACTTAGCAATCTTGACTGAATTTTAAGTTTCTGATAATCCCAAATTCAAAAAAATAAGAATGAGAGGATGGAGAGCTGCGTGAATTAAAACTAAAGACAAGGTTTTGCCAGCTCCTGTATATGTATATGATCAAGCTGTGCATGCTCTTTTCCTGACATTTGCCCTTCATATATCAGAATACATTTGACAAAAGTGGATCATTTCTTATTTTCAGTTGTCTTCCTTATTTCCAATACCGTTAAGTTGGAGGTCAGCCACAGAGATGAATGGTGAGCAAAACTGTTCCAGATCAGGTCACCTTATGAAATGTGTGCAGCAGTTACCCTTGGTACTTATTTTAATTTCAGGTACATCTTTTTGACTGAAAACAGGTCTGAGCTATTGCTCAGTTCCCTCTTTGCCTTTATAGCAAGATTTTGGCCAGATCACCTTTGGTCCTGGCTTTGCAAATTTAGCTTTCTATTATTTGAAGGAACACTGCTTATTAGTTCAAAAGCCCCTGAGTCAAGAGGAGCTGAATCAGAATCAGGAGCTGAATCTGGGTCAGACCATCTCCAAAAGTGTGTGCAGTAGTTACTCCTGGCATCTACCTAATAAAAGCCCCTGAGTCAAGAGGAGCTGAACCTTCTGGGTCAGACCATCTCCCAGAGTGTGTGCAGTAGTTAACTCCTGGCATCTACCTAACGGTTACATATATCTTTTTTCACTGAAAACTCAAACTGTTTTAACTTCACAGAATCTGTTGTCTGTGTTTGGTTTCTAGGAGATATCCAACCACCTTCGATGTGCCATGTTTTAATCTCCCCAAAATCCCTTCCATATATCTGTGTTTTATTACTTGTAGTAATCCTAGCAGTTGCCATTGGCCTGGGTGGTGAGTACAATTGGTTATTCATTAAGTTCTCAATTAACCATTCAAATGCTTAATTTTTCATGAGCCTTTTACTGAGAATGGAATTAAACTGCTACTGCAGCTTGTTTACTGAATTGAAAAATCCTGTTGATGTGATGGCTTTAAATTTTATTTACATGTATGGATAAAATGGATCTGGCACTCCTAAGAGGACTGGTATAATATTTATCAACTGGGGAACATGCCACACTAAGAAACATTTCTCCAGTTAAACTTCACTGATTCCTCTTTATACGGTGAGCTAAGAATTTAGAAAATGGGGGAGGTTGCAGGTAATGCACATCATATTTTCACCCTGTAT